TTTAATAATAATCCAGTTGGGTTCAGTCCCTTTAATTAAAATTTGTCAAAATATCAGTTAATCGGATTTACTGATAATCCAAGCTAGGTTCAGTCTTTTGTTAAAATATGCTTCCAAACCTGGAAATAATAATAGTGTTTCAAGGCTATAATGTTATTCCCTAGATCCCTAAAAATGTCCAAACTTGGACAACACCCATGCTAATGGCCAGGGATTTCATATAACCTAAACCCTTAATGAAACCTTCTTATAAAGTGGGGAGGAGTGTAGTATTCGTAGGTTTTCTTATCCGAATACCCGTCCACCTGCATTAATGCAGGGAACCAGTCCCTCCCCAGTGACGTCACTTCCTTATCCGTTCTTCCTGCTGAAATTGAACCTGTTGGTATTCACTGAGAAGAAAGATATCCTTGCAATCATCCGAAGTGTGCGACTTTTACAGTTTGCCTGCGGCTGATATTATTGAGTAGCATCTTTATTTAGGTGAGTAATACTTTAGAGGCTTAAATATGCAAAAACACAGCCCTTACTGCGTTAGTCACGCCGTAGAGAATATGGTGATAAGTACTGCAAACAGTCATTAATCGCAACTAACATCTAGATTATTACTTGAAACTTGAATCCTTAGATTTTCTTAAAATCCAAGTGCATTGTTCTGAACCGAGATTTTCTTGAAAAATGTTGACTCATCTGGTGGCATGTTTACTATGTAGTTTCAGTTAACTAATTAACCTCTTGAATGTGGTCATTTTTAAACCTAGGGACATTATTTATATAAATTTTAAAGATGTCCTCAAGGCAATGCTATATACCAAATATCTAAACTCTGGGCTTTTTTTGTTTTCCAAAAAAATATTTGAATATTTTCCTTTAAAAGTCTTTATTACCAAAGTGACCTCCAGGGCATCCCCAAAGGGCATGATTTATATAAATTTTACAGATTCCACTAGGCGCAATACTATATGTCAAATATCTCAAATTAGAGCATCTTTTTGTTTCGGAGAATTTTTTAAGATTCAGTTTATGATTTTTTCAGCTGTTGTGGCCTATTTGAGCAAGCAACTTGTAGAAGGCACTAAAGGGTCCTTTCTGTGAAGCTCAGATGAATCCACCCCGTAGTTTAGGAAGAAATGATGTTTAACGAATTTGCTCATAAAATGGGGCAAGGAACCTTTCCAAAACAGTTCACTAAAATGTCACTTGATGTTTGTTATGAAGCCTTAGTGAAGGAATGTTCTTAGACCACAACACATAATAAGTAAAAAAGACTTGAGCCTTACACCGGACAGACAATATTCTTGCATATCAGACAGGATTATCTACCGTTTACACCAATGCTTGAGAAACGTGCCTTACACTACACTCCGCATGTAAGACAAGCCTAGTGCCTTCAAAGAGTCATTCCCGCTCGCCTTTTATGAATGAATTGCGTTATTGCGTCATTTTACCGTTATGAATGAAGTTGTTAATTTCAAACGCTACTTTAAGATAGAAATTATTAGTTTTCGTGATTTTTTCCCGAAATATGGCTAATATGCTACATGAAAGAAAAGAATCAAACACGGGCTGTGGCTGTGGCTCGAGGGTAACTGTTTACGGCGTAACGCAGCTTTTACCGGTTTGGGCATACAAATATACATGTCTTCACAATTAAGAACAACAACAAGCAAATACTAGTTTTTAGATATCTTCACAAAATCAATTTTACAAAATGTACAAAACTAAAAACATTAGCAATTGAGAAAATAAAAATATCAAATTAAAGTAACAAGGACGGATTGTTCAAAATATAAAAAAATAATAAGGGAATATCTTCATTATAAAAAGAAATCAAGTCAGATTATTATTCAAATGTTACAGGAACTCCACTGAGGTCCAGAACTCCACTAAGGTCCAAAAGCATAACAACGTGAAATTTGAAATTCTTAGATATATTAACTGGTACTCTTAAAATGGAAAAATATGCAACAAATATCAAAGAAATAAACACAGAATTAAATTGAAAATATTTTTTGTGCAATTCTCAGCCAGATTTGAGTAAAGCATTTAAACGTTTTTTTATTTTTTGGGGTCATTTTGCACCACAAATAATCTTGAATTTTGCACACAATTTATTGGTCCAAACCTAAATAAAATGGTTTTTCAAAATCTCAACAACAAAAATATTCCAAGTCTTATCTTTTAGAAAAAAAAAGAAGAAAACCTCAACGAAGTCCCTTGAAATACTGCAATTCTGATCTAAAAGTGACAAGGGACAAAACAAGTTAACATTAGTACACTATATGATACATTAGTAAAACACACATTAATACAAATTATTTCAGAAGATATTATCACACATTATCTAATTATTAGAAAATTTCTTCATGCACAGTGATTATGCAAAAGCAATACAAACTTAATGTTGAATATAAGAATTTTTGGTCACTTATTTGTGTGTTATACATAAATTTTATACATTTTACAATCGAATGACTTATCTTTTATGAATCTATTGAAAAATAAATACTGAAAATGAATATTGCCTGACAAGTATTTTCATTTGTATAGGGTAGACATTTTGAAGGGTATAAAGCTATATCTAATGAAATATTTTTCTAAAACTTATTAAAGGTAAAATAATATTGTTTCCATAATGTTTTGGCCGATTCTCGAACAGCTTGTTACATAGAATACATGCGTTATTTAACACACATGAATATTGTACGTAAACAGAATAAAGAGTTCCAGACCAAAATATCACGGTGCTATTTCAAAACGTATTTCGACCGTTGAGCACTTAGTTTCAATTAGTTTGTACATGCACCAGTCAAACATTATTTCCTTCATACAGGTATTTTGGATGTATTACTTTTCAAAATAAAAACAATTATTTTGTACACTACAGACAGTTAATATGTAGTTTTATACATTTTAAATGTTTTAATTTAATTATATATGTCATGTATGTGCACATTGTATCCACATAAAATTTGCATACATCATTATATACAGTATATTGCATTATCTTTTTATTAATTTATTCTTTGTTGTTGATAAAAATGTACATGATGCTATAAATATAAAAGATATGTTGCATTATTATCATAAGAAAATCAAGTACAAACACACATGTGACATAATAACTTATGTGATGCCACACAACAAATAACTGTTACACATACAATACCAAATCACACATCTATCACAAACAATATAAGTGGTAGTTAATCTTAACTATAACTGCATTTTTCATCTGAAATAAACTGTCTAAGTTTGTCTAAGTAAATGATGAATTTTGTTTTTAAACTGAATTTATCAGACACAATTGGCTGTATCAAAATGTTTATAATTAACTTTAAATGTATCTTTAAAGGCACTTTTTACAACTAATGAAATTGAAAAAGAATTGAACAGTATCAAACAGACATGTATCTACATTCTAAAACACATTTGACTACATATGTTTTTAGAGCTTGGAAAGTACAGCTGACATTTATAATTCAAGTAGTGGCCAAGTGGTAAAGAAGTCTGCATCTAAACCAAGGGTTGTAAGTCCAAGCCCTATATTGTTCACAACCATGTTGTTATAAGACACCATGGCTGCAAATTATTAAGAAGTCCTCTAATCTCTAAGTCAGATCTTGGTTATTTTCATTGGTCAGAAATTGGCACAGAATGTACACTGACCAATGAAAATCCTGGGATTCGAGACAGACCTAAAAAAAACCTCAAGAGCTGTCATTGGTACAGTGAGCTTGACTATTCCCAGCGCTTGATAGCAAAACAAGAGCCTGGATATTGTTCAAACGGGGTACAATAGTTTGCAGGTTTATTCTTCAATTAACCATGGCTTTAATTAAAGCTGTGAATCAAAAAGTCAAACCTTCGGGCATTATTGGGTATAATGCCTTTTCAAATTGTTTTTATTCAACAAAATTTGCTTTGGGGTTTTTTAAAATTAATCTTTGATTTTTATTTACAAAAGGGTGGCTACAGATATTTTTAATAAAAAAATGTTGACATTTACATAATTCCTATCCCAACAGTTGTTTCTTACAGTCAACAATTGTTTGTAACAGTTAATCACAGAGAAACAAAAATAGATAGTAATCTACCCTATGTGCTAACATTTAGATAATAAATCATTTTATTAGTACATGTATCTTTATTGACTCATAACAAAATATAAATAAATAAACTAAATATATACAAATATATATTAGCAAGAATATCCAATAAATGTTATTTTTAATATCAAGCAAATCCTCTTTTTAATGAAGTAAATAAATATCCTTCCATATCCATTTTGTTTTCTTCTGCCTGTTATAAACATCATCATATAGACTTATCTAAGTATATGTTAGTGTTCACCTGTGCTGTTCTACAGAAATAAGAAACTTCAGGGGAGCCGACAGGGACTGGAGAATGTTTCTAATTTCTATACAACAGCTACAGATGAATGCTAACATACTAAGTGTCAAGCTTTACATGTATTTGGTTTGATCAATATTCACTTTACATAAACTATTTTAAAAAAAATCAGTTCTTTTAACCCCTTAAAAAATAAAGGTGACATAAAAGAATTTTTATAAGTTTTGATTTTGTTTTCTATAATTAACACAAATTTTAGAATTTACCGGGTTCCTTGATACAAATAAAATCTCCCCTCTAATTACAGTAATTAAAATCAAGAAAAAAAACTTCTTAGAGAAATTTAAAAGAGAAGAAATACCTGCAACAAAATATCAAAAAGAAAAAATGCATAAAAACATGCCCTTTGGGCCCGGAAAGAAAATGAATTTTTCCTGCAAAAAAATTTTTTTCAAAAGATATTTTGGGAAAAATATACCTTAAAAATATTAGATATTTTATCATTTGAATGTCTGGTCATCATTTGGGACAAAGCATTGTAAAGAGAATTCCCTGGACCCAAAAATATTCAGAAGTTTTAAAAGGTGAAGCTTCCCTTTTCGAACTTGTATAGTGAATATGAAAAAATTCAAACTTTTCAACGTAAATTAATGGATGGGCATTTTCCTCATCAAGACATTGACAAAGTTGTCTCCCCCTATGTCAATGGGACTTGTAGCTATCACAACTGTCTTCTTGTTCAAATTTATCGCATTTTTCCTGAACAATCTCTTAGGGGATTTCTTAGCTTTCGTTTCATATATTGATATGAAATAAAAATATTAAAAAATATAAAAACATACATAATTCAAAAAACGAAAATGAAAATTCAATGAAAAAAGAATGATGTAATTTAAAAAATATAAATCATAAAGGTAAGTTATATAATGAAAACCCTGTTCTTTACAAACTTTTAAATAGATTTGAATTTCTTTCTCTAAGTTTTTTTTTTCAATTTTTAGAGATATAGTCTATAATTCAACCCTGTATAGATTGATACAATTAAAACATTTGTATGGTAAGTATAGTTGTTCTTATAATTCAAACTTTACCGCAAAGTTTATTATGAAATGAGTAGTATTATACTTAATTTTTAAACCTTATATGTTAAAATTGAAGTGTATGTTAAGCCTCTTCTAACATTTTTTTGGAAAAACTAACTCCATAAACAACCATTAAAATGCAAGCATGATAATGTCGTGCCCACAACAAGAGTACTCTATGCGTAATAAGGGTCCATCCATCCTTTCAGACACTAAGAGTACAGCCCCTTGCCCACAACAATACAAATTTGATCCATTTGAAAATGTCTGCATTTTGAGAACATAGTTTGGTGTCCCAAACCCCTCATATAAAAATGGACAGTCCTAAATTAACAACATGACTAGTCCATTACAATTTATCAGGAAGGACCGGAAGGTTAACGGCTCACAATGAAAACTTAAAACTATTTTTTTATAGTCTTACCTTTGATAACAAAGCCTGAGTCTGATATAGTTTTACCCTGTCCTTTCCAAATCTGGTATAAATGTAGATAAAGGCCTGCATAGAAATCATTGACAACACAAACAACTTCATGACGTCTATTGCATTCCCTTGAAAACAAAAAAAAGCATTTAAGAAAAATAGGTTCATTGTCTTGAATCAAAAATAAAGAAAAAGAAAATAGTCTTAAAAACTTAATACAGCTACTTGAAAATTCATGACTCTAAAATTCCTGTATGAAAGAATTATGTTGGTATTTTTCCTTTAAGAGGGAACAGCACAAAGTCCCCTTTGGCAAACTTTGTACAGACAACTATGCTATTTATCCAAAAAGAGCAAGAGCCATGTCAACATGGCCATCCCCCGCCGAATGTGTTTGCTCATTGGAAGAATGTATATGTAGTAGAGCGGAATAATTCCATTTTAAGAGGTCTTTTGGTAATGAAAACTGATGGCTATAGTGATTACAGATTTGAAACTTATGTGAATACTGATGGCTGAAAATAACAAAGGGCAATTACTGAAAAATAATGCAGGGTAGGTTATCATTCTTGTGTGCTGCATCCCTCCTCAGTAAAATCTATCCACCTATGAAGTTTCAAGTTGATACCTAAAATACTTTTTGAGAAAAAAATTGAATTGAAAAATTAAGTATGAAAAAGAACAAAGGGCAATAACTCAAAAATTATAAAAGGTAGAGTTATCATTCTTGTGCAGTGCACACCTCCTGAGTGACATCTATGCACCTATGAAGTTTCATTTTGATATCTCAAAGGCTTTTTGAGTTATGCTCTGGACAAAAATTAATTTTGAAAAATAACAAAGGGCAATAACTCAAAAATAATGCAGGGTAGAGTTATCATTCTTAAGCACTGCACTCCTCCTCAATGAGATCCATCCACATCTGAAGTTTCAAGTTCATACCTCAAATACTTTTTGAGATAAGCTCTGGACAAAACAGCATGAAAAAAAAGGGCAATAACTCAAAAATTGTATAGGGAAGAGTTATCATTCTTGGCACAACATTCCTCCTCAATAAGATCTATCCACCTATGACATTTCATGTTGATATCTCAAACACTTTTTGAGTTATGCTCCACTCAGGTGAAAAATTAGGTATGAAAAAGAACAAAGGGCAATAACTCAAAAATTATGAAAGGTAGAGTTATCATTCTTGTGCACTGCACACCTCCTGAGTGAGATCTATGCACCTATGAAGTTTCATGTTAATATCTCATAGGCTTTTGGAGTTATGCTCTGGACAAAAATCAATTTTTGAAAAATAACAAAGGGCAATAACTCAAAAATCATGCAAGGTAGAGTTATCATTCTTGTGCACTGCACTCCTCCTCAATGAGGTCTATCCACCTATGAAGTTTCAAGTTGATAACTCAAATACTTTTAGAGATATGCTCCGGACAAAAATGTCGGACGGAAGGACGGACGGACGGAAGGTCGGACGAACGGAAGGAGACTATTTCTATATCCTCCGCCGAAATTTTTCGGCGGGGGATAATAAACACAAATGCTTAAAATTCTTAAAGGAACTCCACTTAAAGGTCCAAAAGCCTAAAATCATTAACTTTTTACAAAAATCAGCTGGGGCTTTAAAACTGAAAGTTGTGCAAAAAAAACATTAAGAAATATACTTAGAAATAACTTTGGGTCATTTTTCACAATTAAAATAAATTATGTCAGAAATATGGAGTAAGCTAATAACTTTAATTTTGCACACAAGTTATTGGTCTAAATTTACATCAAATGGAACATTAACTTAAAAATTTATTTTCAGACTCATCATGTCTAAAAACCTCAGTTAAAGTCCCTTTAATGGAGAAAAGTGATATTTTCCATAGTTTGATAAACTATTTTTAAATGGTACTTCAGTAACATTCTAAGGATGATAACTCAGTAAACAAGTTATGTCCCCACCATAACATACTCAGCTTGGTTTGGTCTGAACATATTTATCTAAGCTTGGTTGTGTAAAAAGTTCTTGCGACTTATATAATAACTTTCAAGTCCACTTCCTGGAAACAACCAGTACTAATTGGTGTCATATGAAGAAACATGGCCATGACCTGATTAGACCTCAAACCCATGATCCCTGGGTTGAGAGACAGACACCTTAACTTCTAAGCCACCGCTCCCATGCTCAGCTGTTCATTAAACACGCAAATAATGTCACAAAGATAAATGATGTAGTAAAAATTAATGCTAAAACTAGAAGGGTAACGTTTTTGTCACAAAAACATATGTCTCCCAAAACTATGTATGGTCACTCATGTGAAGTTTCATTGAAATCCCACCAGTAGCTTGACCTGTGAAAGCATAAAAATGTTTTTTCTATTTATAGCTCTGGCTTCCATTATATGCATGACCTGTGAAAGCCAGACAAGATTTTCCCATTTTAGCTCTGGCGGCCATTTTGTGCAGCAAAGCAGAATGTGCCCGTGATGTGCACAACTAGGGTTGGTACTTGATAATCACTCATTAAATATTGGTTGAAATCCCACCAGTAGTTTGACCTGTGAAGGCTGGAAAAGATTTTTCTATTTTTAGCTCTGGTGGCTATTTTGTCCAGCACATGCCGGTAATGTGCACAACTAGGGATGGTACTGATCACTTCTGTAAAGTTTGGTTTATATCCCACTAGTAATTTGACCTGTGAAGGCTGGACAAGATTTTTCTATTTTTAGCTCTGGTGGCCATTTTGTGCAGCGAAGTGGAAAGTGCCAGTATTGTGCACAACTAGGGATGGTACTAACCACTCCTGTAAAGTTTAGTTGAAATCCTATCAGAAATTTGACCTGTGAAGGCAGGACAAGATTGTTCTATTTTTAGCTATGCAGCCATTTTGTGATGCGAAGCGTAACATGCCGGTGATGTGCAAAACTAGGGATGGTACTGATCACTCCTGTAAAATTTGGTTGAAATCCCACCAGTAGTTTGACCTGTAAAGGCCGGACAAGCGTACTGCGGACGGACAGACGCCAAAGGCAAACACAATATGTCTCCCAAAGTACCCATAACTATGGGTAAAGGTAAGAAAACTGGAAAATATTACATTAAGGACATTTCTATAGTAACCAATCAATATACCTTCATATTTAAAATCTTAAAATGCCTACCAAATATGCCTAGAGTAAATTGATATTGAGAAAATTGAAAAAAAAATTGTAAAAACTCTTCCCAAAAGCAGTTTATCTTTAAAAAAGCAAATAAAAAAATAACAACAATAAAACATTAATACATGTATACTTTAAAGGAAAAATCTGTTACTGGTCTTCAGAGCTTATAAAATCAATAAATAAACAACCTCTAAAACAAAACTTTAACAGTGTAAAATATCATCAGGAAAAAAATTCAGTTTAATGTCTGAGTGAACATAAACTTGGTGAAAATATGACAATATGGCTAGCATTTACCATTAAAATTTCAACAAGGTCTTTTTTTAAGTAAGATGTGAAGAAAAAAAAAACAACAAAAAACCAAGAGGAAATTCATTTAAATAAGTCTTTGTGCACATGACATTTCAATTAATCTTCCTTTAAATAGGAGCTAGAAATAGCAAATTATTTAAGAGTGTATGACAGTTCTGACACTCCTTCTATAGAAAAGACAGGCTAGATCTGCAAATGTCAGGATGATCAGAAAGTAAAATAAAATACACATGATATTTACATCACAAAAAAACAAAACAAAAAAAACAACAAATATGAAATCTATTAAAATTTTATTACTTGATTGAGGTAAGTATAATATACCATATTTTCTCTAATAAATGCCCCCAGTGGCATAACATTTTCCAAAAAGGGGCATTTATTAAAGGTCAAAAACATTGTTGTTTTTTGTTTGTTTGTTTTGGGTTTTATGTCACATCAACACAGTATAAGGTCATATCGCGACGTTCCAGCTTACTGGTGGAGGAAGACCTCAGGTGCCCTTCCGTGCATTATTTCAGGCATTATATCATGAAAATAAAAAGAAAGTTTTATTGTTTTTGTTTAATAATTCACTGGAGTATAATTAAAAGGGGAGGCGTGTTTATTAGAAAAGGTATGTTAAGAATAACCAATGCAAGATTTAAAACATCACAGATTTAATTTTTCATTACAAACCTTTTGCATTGCATACATCCTAAAAAATACAAATATTGACTTTTCAGATTCACTTACTTGTTGAGTAAACCCTCTCTGAGAACTTGAAGTGTTATCCTTGATAAATTTATACCCATTACACAAAATGGAAAATTCTGAAACAAGAAACGGGGATTTTCTGGTAGTTATGTTAATGTATAGAATTTTGTTTGTTTCATTTTTTTAGCCTTTTACCAACAGTATTTCAGTCATAAAGGCGGGTAGTTTCCTAACCATGGTTCCTGGTGAGTTACACCAGTACTAGACTACCTTCCTTCGCGCTAAACTTCCAAAGCATCTCCCGGGGATCGAACCCACGCCAGAGAGGTAAGTGGATTAGAAGTCATCGACTCTAACCCCTCGACCACAGAGGCGGTCTAATGTATAGAATGCTTCCATGAATAAATACATTGCAAATACATGTATATATATATATATACATGCTAAGTGACAATGAAATAAATTGTAAATATATAGCACTGTATTTTTATTTTTTCATTTGATATTAAATAACACAGGCTGTAATCAAAGATTCATAAGATAAAAGTTATTTTTGCTATAAGAAAGGTATGTTTGTTACAAAAAGAACCTTAACAAAGGGGCCGTTGACCCACAAATTGAAAACCTAAGGTAACGTCATTCTCTATAGTTACGAGTTGTACAAGGTTTTGTCACAAACAACCTATTTCATTCTCAATATAACTACATAATAATAATTATGAGATTATAATTACCTGTGTAGGATGTAATGACAGCCTGTAAATATCACTTGCAAGTTGATGTACTTTACCATCTTTTAATATGTGTAATAAATTTACAACACCAAGAATTCCAGCGCCTCGTAAATCTGTTGCTGGATCAGTACCTAGTAATTAAATGAAAAATAAACCATCAAAATAGAGGCATATTGTATGATAAAAATAGCTTAATAGCATACATAGAAATAATAAAGTAGCATGTATCCTCACTTCTTTAAAAAAATAAAGCACGCACCTACTTGTATATATTTAATTTTGAAGAATGAAAAATTCTGTATGAACTGTTATAGAAAATATGAGTAAAAATATAAAGATTTTTTTATTTCTTTGTAAATCCAACCAATAGCATTTATACATAAAATCTGTGACTGAGATGTTAAGAAGTTAAGTCTGCTGAATTCATTTAATTGACTTGTCCAGCTTCCATTAAAGATACATGTATACTTTGCTCAAATTTGATATTAGAAAATATTGATAATTGCTACAATTTAGTCTCTTTGTAAATATAAAATAAGCAGGTTTCTTCACACAAAGTACATATGTTATGTTTAATTTTCTACACACTATAGGTTTGTTTGTTTGTTTGATTGGATTTTACATCACATCGACACAGTATAGGTCATATTGCGACATTCCAGCTTTACTGGTGGAGGAAGACCTCAGGTGCCCCTCCATGCATTATTTCAGGTACAAGTGGGTGCCTCAGAAGAACCAACAACGTTCTGTAAGCAAGCTGGATAGCTTTCTCACATGAATGAATCTCAAGTCCCTGCCGGGATTTGAACCCACAGCGGTGAGGGGCAAGTGGTTTGAATACACACTATAGGTGGTCACAGTATATATATATAATATGAATATATAGTGTCATTAAGAAAAGACCAACTTTACTTGACCTGTTATAGGGAAAGCTGAGCTTCCCATACAGAGTTTATTTTTTCTTTTATTCAAATTAGACATATTCAGTAAGAATTTCATAGATTTCAATAGACTTCTGTGATAAAAAATATTTTACTCAAGGATGAGCATAGTATATCTTTAAAGTGATATCATGCTCATTTTTTCACTGACAAATTGAGTTGAAGTAGTAATATATTTCAAAAAATTAACAATAATAATGCTGACTGACCAATAATTGATAAAGAAAAATGTTTATAATTTTCATAAGAACTACCTGAATTATAAAATGTCTGTCCCATTCATTTTAAGAAATGAGCTTAAATTACACATTCTGAACAATATTTGTAGAAAAATCAGTAGGTCACATGGATTATTGATTATTTTTTTGTTGTTAAATATAAATTCTAACACTATCGGAATTTTTTCTATATAAACAAAGAAGGCCCGAAGCGTGCATTATTCTACAACAATGCACTCGCCGTTCTTATTATCTCCCTGTGTATTTTCACATTGAGGGCGCCATTTTGTTTGAAAAATCTGATAAATAAAAACAATTTTTTGTCGAATTTTGTTGTGAAAACTATCTAGAATGAAAGACAAGAGGGCCATGATGGCCCTTAGGTCGCTCACCTGTATATAGCCCCCCCCCCCCAGGCCAATTTTTACCCAAGGGCTTTTATTTGTTTATTTGAACAAACTTGGTAGATACCCATAAGAAGATGTTTCATGCTAAACATCTAAGTTCTAGCTCATTGGGTTTTTTAAAAGAAGATTTTTTAAGTTTTTACTATACACATATAGTTAAAAACAATGACACCCCTGGGGCAGTGCCAGTTTTGACCCCCGGGCTTTTATTTGAACAAACTTTGTAGATATTTACTTAAAGATGTTTTATGCTTAATATCTAAACTCTAGCTATTTGGGTTTTTTCAAAGAAGATTTTTAGGTTTTTGCTATACACATATAAGGAAAATCAATGACCCCCGGGGCGGGCCAGTTTTGACCCCAGGGCTTTTATTTGAACATACTTGGTAGACACCCATTAGAACATGTTTCATGCTAAATATCTTAGCTCTAGCTCTTTGGGTTCTTTAAAAGAAGATTTTTTAAGTTTTTACTATATGCATATAGGGAAAATCAATGACCCCCTGGGGCGGGGCCAATTTTGACCCAAGGGCTTTTATTTCAACAAACTTGATAGACATTCACTAGAAGATGTTTCATGCCAAATATCTTAGCTCTAGCTCCTAAGGTTCTTTAAAAGAAGATTTTTTTAAGTTTTTACTATATGCATATAGGGAAAATCAATGACCCCCTGGTACAGGGCCAATTTTGACCCAAGGGTTTTTATTTCAACAAACTTGGTAGACATTCACTAGAAGATGTTTCATGCCAAATATCTAAGCTCTAGCTCTTACAGTTCTTTAAAAGAAGATTTTTTAAGTTTTTACTATATGCATATAGGGAAAATCAATGACCCCCCGGGGCAGGGCCAATTTTGACCCCAGGGCTTTTATTTGAACAAACTTGGTAGACACTCACTAGAAGATGTTTCATGCTAAATATCTTAGCTCTAGCTCTTTGGGTTCTTTAAAAGAAGATTTTTTAAGTTTTTACTATATGCATATAGGGAAAATCAATGACCCCCCGGGGCAGGGCCAATTTTGACCCCAGGGCTTTTATTTGAACAAACTTGGTAGACACCCATTAGAACATGTTTCATGCTAAATATCTTAGCTCTAGCTCTTTGGGTTCTTTAAAAGAAGATTTTTTAAGTTTTTACTATATGCATATAGGGAAAATCAATGACCCCCTGGGGCGGGGCCAATTTTGACCCCAGGGTTTTTATTTGAACAAACTTGGTAGACACTCATTAGAAGATGTTTCATGCTAAATATCTTAGCTCTAGCTCTTTGGGTTCTTTAAAAGAAGATTTTTTAAGTTTTTACTATATGCATATAGGGAAAATCAATGACCCCCTGGGGCGGGGCCAATTTTGACCCCAGGGTTTTTATTTGAACAAACTTGGTAGACACTCATTAGAAGATGTTTCATGCTAAATATCTTAGCTCTAGCTCTTTGGGTTCTTTAAAAGAAGATTTTTTAAGTTTTTACTATATGCATATAGGGAAAATCAATGACCCCCTGGGGCGGGGCCAATTTTGACCCCAGGGCTTTTATTTGAACAAACTTGGTAGACACTCATTAGAAGATGTTTCATGCCAAATATCTAAGCTCTAGCTCTTAGGGTTGTTTAAAAGAAGATATTTAAAGATTTTTCTTTTGGTTGCCATGGCAACCAGAGTTCTGAATGGAATTAAATTCTTTGAACAATTTTTAAAGGTGACCACCAAAGGAACATTCCTGTGAAGTTTGGATGAAATTGGCTCAGTGGTTTATGAGGAGATGTCATTTAAAGCAAAAGGTTACGGACGGACGACGGACGGACGGACGCGGGACGAAAAGCGATCACAAAAGCTCACCCTGTCACTTTGTGACAGGTGAGCTAAAAATGGTCTAACTAAGAAAATAAATCCGAACACCAATATCTTTAATTCAGTCGTTAACGCTGTACAGACGTTTAAAGTGTTGTTTACGTGACGTCACAATGTAGCGCCAAACAGCACGTGCAAAACAATCAAAATCAAGTACGCTATTTTAATGTCGCAGACGAGTAAAGTTTTACATTTATTTCACTTTTAATAATTTGTATTTCGCTTGGAAAATTATAGACTGAAATAAAATAAATAAACAAAGTTTTATCAACGTTTTCAAAATTCGTTATTGTCAAAATGTTTCTACACACGGTAGATTTAACGACAGTTTTTTTCAACCCACTGGAACGGCCTTTAAAGAACATTTCTATTGGAAACTCTGAGGCGAAAACAAATTTAACCACCAAGCATAAAGTCCAACTTTATAATAATAATTATATTTTTTCTTGACGTGTTAGAATGGAAATAGATATTAATTCTTCGTGCATTATTGTATAATAATGCACGTTTTTCGTTCAAATGCTTTGTAATTAATCACTCAGGCCTATCGGCCTTCGTGATTATATTACTACGCATTTGAACTCAAACCGTGCATTATTCTACAACAATGCACTCAGAATTGATATCTATTTCCTAAACAATGAACACAACTATGGCAAAATCTCGCAAAATCTCGAGTTATTTTTACCTGTTCACTGACCATTTTTCACTTTGAAGGGCATAATATCACTTTAATGGAACTGTCTATTATCATTTATTGGACATATCTAGATAAAAAATCATCCAGTATTGTAGATAGAGGTCAGACTACACGGATGTGCAGGCTGGCCCGGCTCTGTACCGGTGGCAAAGGGTAATTGATTTCAATACTTACATGGTAAGGGTTTATTTCACAATACAGTCAACAACTCCAGCAATTTACCTTGGAAACCAATTTCCTCCCAGTGACCACCAATCCTTGGACAATCAAACTTAGACCCTGTTAAACACCTGTATATAGTTTGTAATGTCCTCATATGAGCACTGTTTTCATTGTTCAACTGTGCTGTAAACAAAAATAATTGTCATTTATACATTACTGTGGTAATATAATATATAAGTATGAAGACTTAAACATTATATTGTTAATAATCACACTTTATTACATCCTCTATAGTAGACAGTGAATTTTTATATTTGATAATTTCACCAAGAAATTTAATTTTGATAATTTCACTGTAGCCAAACGGAATTGGAATAACGATTGATAGCATATAACATATCTTATTAAATGTATGATAGCTTCCTCCAAAATTGATCAATTGTAAATAAAATACTGGAAACCAATCAATATTTGCCCATTGTTACATAATATGAGAAATTCTATAGAACTTTTTTTCAATTGAAATATTGTGATGACATAATTCAATGACACCATGATGAAGAAGGCATGCAAAAATCATCATAATTCATGAAAAATCTTAAAACAAATAGAAAATTTGTTAATTTTGGATTAAACTCATTACAGTGTTGGAGCAGTACCTCTAGACGCTTGGTTGGTTTTGGGCCAGTAACTTCTCAAATGTTACTGGCCCGAATGGCCAGTAACTTCAAAATGTTAATTTCGAAGACTGTAGTATGGTGAATGTGATGCGGTAGGCGGGTAGGCAGGGAAATAATATTTTTGTATATAAGTTGGTAGACAGCTTTAAAAAGTGCATTTTGGAGGACAAAAAGGCTAGATTTTAAGCATTTAATCATTCAATCAAATTGTCCTGTATATTGTGGTGCTCTAACATTTTTATTAGTCTTAACTGCATGTTTCGAATGTAACACAAGATGTTTAAATTTCATCACAAGTTAGTCTCATTTTCCTACTTTTTAAAAATGTGTGCCACTGATCATATTGACAGATTTGTTATCCAAAGTAAATTTGAAATGCCTGACTGATTAATACAGTATTAAATTTTCTATATAAAGTCATAAAATGACCTTATATTAGGATGGTGATGTAACTTGTTTGTTTTTCTGGTTTATACCCTGATTTAAACAATATCCAATTCTCTCCCTCTATTAAGCTTAGAGTTTGAAATTATTTTTTGTCCATTGACATATGACTGCAGTATTTCAAATGAATCGTAACACATTTACTTTGGTAATTCAGCAAACTGTTAATCAGTCTAGTAAATAAACTGTTTATAAAAATAGTTTTAAACACTAAGCTGGTTAAAATTCATTAGTATATATTAACAAAATTAAATAGGGCGCACGGACCAATTTAGCGTGACCAATTTAATTTTGTTAATCAGTACTAATAAACTTTAACCTATACTAAGTGGGCAGACATGGTTATATCAAACGAGTTTCTGAGGTTAATGAATGACGAAATAACTGAATATTAACTTCATACTATAGACAAGTCACCTATATGCAGGAATGGGTTAACTCCTATTTTGAAACAATAAGTTAGAGTTAACCCAATACATGTACTGCACCAAGGTGAAAACATCTAACAGCATATTAACACCTCTATCTTCCCCTTTAAATAAAACTTTTGCTAATTTTCAAGAATATATTTCTATCAACTTACAAGCTGCAAGACAAAAGACTCTGTCTCTCTCATCGAGAAGATTTGGATGTAACTTTGGAGGTCCAAACAGATAATTTACAAAGGCAGATAATCCATGTCTCTCTACTACTGGTTTTATACTAGCCTGTATGATATACACATAAAATAATTACAATTACTGCAAAATCATTATTATTTGTGGGGTACTAATTTTCGTGGTTCTTGTGGATATGTCAGTTCACTGATTTAAGATTCAACAAAATTTCACTTCATCTGCTGCAAAATTATTTTGCATCAATATTTTTACATTTTACCTTTGGAAAAATAATAAGTCTACAAATTTTAGAACCCACAAAAAAATATTCTTTGTGAAAAAACCCGGTTACCAGTTTCGAAACTGGGCTAAGACAAAACCTTAGATAAAATACGAATTAAAAATAAATTGCTTTGTGAAGATATCTTTAAAGAAACTAATTATTCATAGAAAATCATTGCCAAATATAGAATCATTATGATCACTTTTACAAAATTACAATAAACTCCCATAAATTTCAAGTGTAAGACATTTTTTCTGGGGTTGACTTAATATTGTGACTACAGAGAAAGGGATAGCGATAGAAATATCACATTAAGATGCTCGTTCATCTATACTGTGTCAGTGTGACGTAAAACCAAATCAAACAAACAAACAAAATGCTCATTCCTTGGTTATTTTTTTCTAGGGTTTAATATTGTGACAACAGGGAATGTGTGTTTTTATTTCTTCCTATGATGCAAAAGGGAAAGAGCATCGGAACACTGGGCTATCTGATTTATACGAGGGAGCAAATAAACAGTAACAGTGGGATAAAACTGACATCAAAGGCTACAAAACTATTAGGGGGCCTCCGTGGCCGAGTGGTTAAAGTCGCTGACTTGAGATCACAGGTCCCTCACCACTGTAGGTTCGATCCTCACTCGGGTCGAAATCTTTCATGTGAGGAAGCCATCCAGCTGGCTTACGGAAGGTCGGTGGTTCTACCCAGGTGCCCGCTCGTGCCTGAAATTATGCCCGGAGGGGCACCTGGGGTCTTCCTCCACCAATAAAGCTGGAAAAAAATCGACGAAAAATCTCAGCGGGACGCTCTAGGATGACCCGACTTGAGTGTACGGTCGCCCATATGGGCTTTCCGGCGGCGACCTTAAATAAACGCATTAAAAAAAACAAAAACAAAAAAACTATTAACTTGATCAGTTTGATTTCCCCAAATTTATGAATGTGAATGAGTTTGGGAATGGCAGCAAGATTGTAACCCTAGTGTCCAGCTATAGAATCTTTTTCCTTAAAATTTTCAAAAGTTATTCACAAGGTCAAATTATGTACTGGCTGATTAGCATTAAAAGAGCAGACTATGATCTATGAGGGCTAAACAATCTTTAAGTATGCACTGGTCACATGTATATATTTAGAACGTGTTGCCCCAGAGGCTAAGGGCTAAATCCATTTGAGTTAAGGCAGAGTAAGGTTTAACCTTTGATTTACATTTAACTTTTTAATAAATCAAACATACCCTGACTTGAGAGAAATCCTCCCGCTTGATTATTTGCAGCAGCTCCTGGCTTGTCATAGGTTTTACAGTTTGGACCACTGTAGGCTCAACCCCTATAATATGTCATCAATTAAGATATCAACAAAAAAGACATAGTGATTACATTTATTACCTTATAAAGCATTATATAAGTTAGAGATTAAGTATTATAGTTACAAGATCATTTAGAAAAGACACAGTATAAATGGGGTAAATTGTAACGAAGTAATGTTAATTATATATACATGTAATTGTGTATAGACTGATGTTACAAGAATAATAATTAATTGACTATTCTACAGTCATGAGAGAAAAAGAGTTAATAAATAATAAAATTATTATTCTTATTTTAGGTAAATCATAAATCAATAATGATATCAGATCTGCTAGCTGAACACCACACTTGATTGTTCTTTAAGATTATAAGTAAAACAAACAAGTTTTTTATAAAGAAACTCCACCAAGGTCCAAAATCGTAAAGACATAAAATTTGAAATTTGTATATAGCTGCATGGGGCACTTGAAACAGAAAGATATGTAAAAGATAATTAAAGCTGCATGCCTCCAGATGAGCCAAATTATTTCAAGAATATTAAACTTGAAAAATGTACTCATATTTTAAGGAAAGTAATAATATTTGAAATTGAAGTAATAATTTACCATATGAGCCATTAATTACCATTTTGCCGTATGTATCGCCATATTTCTACTGCATGATCAAGTAACACAGTAAGGGCTAATTTCTGCATACTTTGACCTCATTTTGGTATATTACGATGTTTTGCTTGGATTGTAAGTGCTCAGTTTGCAATGTGTAAATTACTTGTTCTGTTCATTTCACAATATATATTTACATGTTCAAAATTTTCATGAAAGTTAGCAATTTTTCTCAAAAATATTTTGAAAATCATATTTTTTGTGCTTCTCTTAGCCCTATTTGAGAGATAATCATTGCAACACTCTAGCAAATTAGGGGTAATTTTTCACAATCAGAATAATCATTCTGGAAAAACCGAGTCAGTGCATGATTTGAAATTTTGCATGCAGTTTATTTATACATCAAATGGAACATGATTAATCTTGGAAAATTATTTCCAGTCCCATCATTTCAAAAACCTCAGTTGAGTGCCTGTCATAGGGCCAACTAGGTACCAAATGAGTAAGGTAGCCATTCCATACTTTGTATAGCAAAGTTAAACATAGTGTTATATTAACAAGATTAAATAGTTTTAGGTAGAAAATATAAAACATTTTTTTAGTATAAAATAAGGTAAGTATTTAGAGACAAAAAGGAGATAAGGCCTGTAATTATATAATTTTTCAATGATTCAATGATAATTAACAATATAACTTAGGATTAAAGGTTCACCATTTGTTAATATTTGAAAATCTGGCACAAAGATTATCAAGAAAAACAATCATTAGTAAAACAAAGATGTGAGATGTGGGTTCCTAGGTGATGTATGTATTAACCATGCATAGCACAGCATGTACATAACCATCCATAACATCATTACAACAGTTGATTTTGTCCTATGAAAGTCAATTCACTAAAAAAAAAACAAAAAAAAACACACACATAAAAAAAACACACATAAAAAATGTTACAAAAACAAAATGTGAAAGTACCTTTAACAGTGACATCTGTTTCCTTATACCCTGTGAAAATATACAAAAATAAAACACTGTGCAGCATTTAACCACATACTGATACATGTATTACTCCAAGATGATCAAATAAATGTAAAACAATACCATTGTCAAACCTAACTACCAGAGTGTGCATTCAATAGTGACTAAAACAAAACATTGATTTAGCTATTGTGTTGTTTAAAAAAAGCAACATTTTTTTGAAAAGTTTTTTATATTTCCTCTATTTGTAATTGACGATTATTACTATTATTAATTTTTGGTTTCATTTAACAATTGTTTGATTGGTCGCCTTTTGGATTGTTTCTGCAAACACACAATTATTTGTTTAATCGGTATAAATTTGTACTTAAATTGCATACATTAGTTGGTTGTAAATGCAATTAATGTTCTCCCTACACAGATTCACATTCTGTACAACAAGTTTAAAGCCACCTTCAGTTTTTTTAAAGGTTAAATATGTTTTTTTTAGAGAAATTGTTTAAAATAATTTTTAAATCAAAAGAATTAAGACAGAAAATGAAATTTGCCAACAAAAATATATAACCATGCAATCTAATCTAATGATCTGCTCTCTATATTTAAATTAGTAAAGTCGACATTCTTTTCCCTATCTTCTATTTTTAGAAACAAACATTACTGACGTGTTATAACTACATTTCGGAAGGCTGTTTTAAAAAGGCTTAACAGTAATATGTTGCACTTTTCCAAGATAAAATTACTAAAATACTTATTTTGAAACAACACAGAATTGTTTTTCCAACAGAAAATAAAAGCTGAAGGCCACTTTAAATAAATCCCTGTATGGTCATTGGGACTGACTGTACATCAATAACCATTTCTCTACCCTAACAGCTTCAGTACCATGTTTTAGCTTGTTGGGTTTTTTCTAGTTTTACGTTAATATTAACACATACTTTTGATCATATCTTTGACATCAATCCAACTAAATTACTTGCCTAGATAACTAACTGTAGTAACCACAAGTGACTTGTTATTTATTCCACATGTGACCTGTTACTTATTCCACATGTGACCTGTTCCTTATTCCACATGTAACCTGTTCCTTATTCCACATGTAACCTGTTACTTATTCCACATGTGACCTGTTACTTATTCCACATGTGACCTGTTACTTATTCCACATGTGACCTGTTACTTATTCCACATGTGACCTGTTACTTATTCCACATGTAACCTGTTACTTATTCCACATGTAACCTGTTACTTATTCCACATGTAACCTGTTACTTATTCCACATGTAACATGTTACTTATTCCACATGTAACCTGTTACTTATTCCACATGTAACCTGTTACTTATTCCACATGATTTCTGAATCAGTGATGAGAGACAAATGACCATTAGACACGATGTCTGAGATAAATTGTCACAGAGAAATTACACCTCCCCCTAGGATTAAAAATTTAGCATGCCCTGAATTACAAATTTGATGCTCTCCCTACTGAGCTAAGTTGAGGGTCTAAGATGTTGAAGAAAGTATATAAGATACAAACACTCAGCTATAAGTCACAAACTAGTTTTAAAATGAGGAGTATTGTAAGTGGATTAGATACCATCACCATAGAGATTCAAAAGAGATCAGTTTCATACATACATTATCATATATTACATATAAAGTTATAATAAAGTTATAAATAAAATATTCAGAAATATTGATGAAATAAATACGAATTTTTATTTTCTGTACTTTCACTGTAAAAATTTATTTTTCACTGCAGTGAAACTTATTTTCTGTATTTTCACTGGTGTCTTGCCAAACTCCAATCAATTTCTTAAACAAGCATCATGGCCAAGTTTGATGACAACTCAGTCAAACATGTGACCTCTAGTGTGTTATGAAGATTTTTCCATATTTGGGCAATGTGACCTAATTTTTGACCGGACACGACCCATATTCAAACTTGACCTAGAAATCATCAAAACAACCTTTCTGACCAATTTCCAGGAAATTTGGATCAAAACTGCAGCCACTAGAGTGTTAAAAACATTTTTCTATTTTTAGCTCCTGTGACCTAGTTTTTGACCGGACATGACCAATCTTAGCACTTGACCCAGAAATCATCAAAACAACCTTCCTGACAAATTTCCAGAATATTTGAATCAAAACTGCAGCCACTAGAGTGTAAACAAGCTTTTTCTTTTTTTAGCTCCTGTGACCTAGTTTTTGACCTGAGATGACCCATCTTCGAACTTGACCCAGAAATCATCAAAACAACCTTCCTGACAAATTTCCAGAATATTTGAATCAATACTGCAGCCACTAGAGTGTTTACAAGCTTTTTCTATTTTTAGCTCCTGTGACCTAGTTTCTGACCTGAGATGACCCATCTTCAAACTTGACTTAGATATCATCAAAACAACCTTCTTGACAAATTTCCAGAATATTTAGATGAAAACTGCAGCCTCTAGAGTGTTAACAAGCTTTTTCTATTTTTAGCTCCTGTGACCTAGTTTTTGACCGGAGATGACCCATCTTCGAACTTAACTTAGATATCATCTAAACAACCTTCCTGACAAATTTCTAGAATATTTGGATGAAAACTGCAGCCCCTTATGTGTTAACAACCTTTTTCTATTTTTACCTCCTGTGACCTCGTTTTTGATCGGAGATGACCCATCTTCGAACTTGACCTAGATATCATTGAAACAACCTTCCTGACAAATTTCCAGAATATTTGGATGAAAACTGCAGCCACTAGAGTGTTAACAAGCTTTTTCTATATTTAGCTCCTGTGACCTAGTTTTTGACCGGAGATGACCCATCTTCGAACTTGACCTACATATCATTAAAACAACCTTCCTGACAAATTTCCAGAATATTTGGATGAAAACTGCAGCCTCTAGAGTGTTCACAAGCTTTTTCTATTTTTAGCTCCTGTGACCTAGTTTTTGACCTGAGATAACCCATCTTCGAACTCGATCTGTATTCCATTGAGACAAACATTCTGACAAAGTTTGATGATGATCCAATCAAAACTGTGACTGCTAGACTGTTAACAACCCAATTGTTAGAGTGTTAACAAGCTTTTTCTATTTTTAGCTCCTGTGACCTAGTTTTTGATCGGAGATGACCCATCTTCGAACTTGACCTAGATATCATTAAAACAACCTTCCTGACAAATTTCCAGAATATTTGGATGAAAACTGCAGCCTCTAGAGTGTTAACAAGCTTTTTCTATTTTTAGCTCCTGTGACCTAGTTTTTGACCCGAGATAACCCATCTTCGAACTCGATCTGTATTTCATTGAGACAAACATTCTGACAAAGTTTGATGATGATCCAATCAAAACTGTGACTGCTAGACTGTTAACAACCCAATTGTTGACGACGCACGACGAGGCACGCCGGACATAGCCCCATCACAATACCCTCACCTTGACCACTTCGTGGTCAGGTGAGCTAAAAAGTATATTATAAACAGAAAATTCAAGTTTTTTCTATTAATACAGGATTTATTTTCATCTTGTGTTATGAAAATTATCATATGCCACTCGTGAAATATTTATTTTCTCAATGAAAATAGATCCTGTATTCATAGAAGAAACTTGAATATCCTCTATTCGTTTAGTATAATTGATAAATATGTGATTAAATATACCATAGTTAAAAATATGAATACAATAATGTTATTATTTTCTTAATCTTTGTATTATTGATTTCCCAATTAAAAAAAAATGCTACCTTCTTTAATTAATCATTATTTGAAAATTGTAATATTTACCAGCTATTAATTAATCAACAATTGATCTTTCTTGCAGGTCAAAGATTAACATAAAATTCTAAATTTCCATTGCACATGTGATGAAAAAATTTAACCACATTATAAATGTGTCAACACAATGAATTTCAAACAAAAACAATACCAACAACATAAATTTGATGCTGTGAGCTTAAATTTAATCTGCCTAAGTACAGTACAAATTATTTCCTGCCTCCACCTCAGAAACTTACATGTAAATCTAATTTCAATAATGAAAACCATAGACAGGTGCATTGCTTTGTGGACACCCGCTGCTCTACCATTCTCTAGACTAAAATATAACACAAGTGGAAGCTGTTGATAATCAACTTAAGTAAGGTATACCTGCTTGTACAGTGGTAACGTTGTCCCATTCTGCTTGTGCTGACTCTAACATGTGCTGTGTGCCCTCATCTGGGGGAGGCTGACAATAAAACAAACCAAAATATATCTTATTTCAATAAAAAGATAATACATGTACAATGTATAGGAAAAACCCTTGTATATGTTACCATTTCAATTAAAGTATAAAACTAATTACATCATCATCATCATCAGTCTGCCATACTTGTACAGAAATGACTGAAGTGCCTCTCCATGTATTATAATTATAGGGCACAAACTGGTTACTGATTTAGACTAAGAAGCTCATCAACTAGCTTGGTAACCTAACTAAATGGCTTACATACAAAATGTTTGTTTATCTTTTCTGATTTTATGCTGATTTTTTTGGCCATGTCTTGATGGTGACTAAGTTCTCCTGATAACTAACCAGTAATTATAGGAAAGTAACCATCTACTAATATATATATATATACCATGTTATTTCTAAATCAGTGGTGAGAGACAAATGACCATTAAACTCGTGTCCGAGATCAATTGTCACGAGAAATTATGACACGCCCTAGGATCAAACCAGCAATCCCTGGATTACAAACCAGGTGCTCTCCCCATTGACCTAAGTGAGCAGACTCTAATTTACAAGAAATAAACATCTCAAGCGGAGAAAATTATGTGCCTTGTGGTTTGAATGAGAAACAAATCAAAATTTAACAAATCCAACTACATTGTAAACTTTTGTAACGTTTTAAGGCACACAAACCTTGTCGGTAAAAAAGCTAGCACAACACAAAGAGTTGTGTGTGTCCTTATATATAGGAAACATTCCCTTATGTTAATCCATCAATTTTAGTTTTTGCATATATATTATTATGATTATTATCAGTATTATGACGTTCTACCAATGTTATTACACTTTTACAGCATATTAAGAATAAAGAAATAATGTAAATATACCGGTACAACATAGGGAGCCTGTGCTGGTTGTGATGTAGGTTTGATAACGGCTACTGGTTTCTGTATTCCACTACTGCTAGCCTGTGGGGAATGGGAACCAGTGTTATGGTCCGGCTTCTGTGAGCTTATGTTACTTTGTTGTGGTAATGGGGAACCAGTAATGAGATCATGTGATGTTGCTGTAGTTATGGTCCTGAAATGAAAACAGCAAATAAATGCATAATGGATTCATTTACGATGCTATATTTATATGTAAGAACAGCAGTAAACTTTAAGTAACCATGTAAAAAAACCTCTATCTTTTGTAACTACACTGAAAACAAGAAGCAGTCAATTACAGTCAAATCCCTGCAGGGGAAAAGTTACTGCATAATTTATCATTAAAATACATATCAAAGGGCAATAACCTTAATACATGTAGTACAAAACCGAGTTTATGAGGGCTATTCTGAAGTTTCAAACTGATAGCTCTTAAACAATAAAACATTTTGAGTTATAACCTTGAGGGAAAGTGAGCATGAAAAAATGATAAAGGGCATTAATTAAAAAAATTGTGAGAAGAAGAGATACTGTTCTTTCCTTATGAACAACTCCTATTAAATTGTATCCATCTATGAAGTTTAGTTGGAAATTGTCATCTCAAATACCTACTTATGGTCCTAGCAAATGAGCATGAAATAAAATACTGAGACTATTACTATATTACCAATATGAACTGTCAGTAGGACTACTTGACTGACTTTTCTCAGTGCTTGATAGTAAAACAAGAGCGTTAGCTAATGTAGAATATTCTAAATTCAAATTGGGCCATAATTCTGTTAAAATCCATGTTTTAGTTATGGATCTTGAACAGTGACCTCCTCTTATGCTCTTAAATAAGTGTGTAAAGTTTCAATCCATTCCTTTAAGTAGTTTTGGAGAGAGCATTGCACTCAAAGACACTGACACCTGGGTGAGTACAATAGCTCTCTGTATTCTTTGAATAGCTCAGCTAAAATAGAAAAGTTATCTTATAAGTAGTATTTAAGTACATAAATGGAAAACATTAATATATTTTCATCACTCACATTTCAGGCTGGCCTTTGTTGACCTGTGGTCCAGTTTGTACAGGTTTGACAGTAGATTCCTGTTGCACAGGTTTTACTGTAGATGAATTAATGGCTGGAGTTGGGAGATCAAAATCAAACTCAGAGTCAGAATCATCTTCAGTCTTATCATTCATCATTATATTATCAAGACTAACTGTCACATCAACCTGTGAAAAAAACTTATATCTATGTAACTTATACACTGTTTACATTTGTGCCATAAAACATGTCTTACACCCCCTTTGTAATACAAGTCATGTGTTTTAAATGGCATCTGATTCTGGCATACCTTTTATGAATGAATTGCGTTTGAAGGTTGACATTATTGCCCTGTTATGAATCAAGTTGTAAATTCATATGCTACTATAAGAAAAGTGCTAAATGAAAATATTAGTTATTGCAATTTACTATATTTCTGTATTTTTTCAACACAGAGTTAATACAAAAGCAATATACATAAATAATGATTTATTAATTTTTTTTGTCAATTAAGGAATAAACATAAAAGGCATAATGTACAAAAATGTAAGTGGTAATCATTAAATCATATAGTCTGTACCTCTATTCCAATAGATCAAGTGTGATAATTTTTTGATATTGAATATATCTCACTGATAAGATCCTATTACATGAAAATAGATTTTTTACCTCCTTTTCCACCTCATCTTCTTGCTTATCAGCTCCTGTTCTGTGCAGTTGATCTATCATTTGAGAAACATTTTTCTCTTGCTTAAAACCATCTGTGTCACCACTTAACATGTTTAGATCTTCTGTTTTGTCACCAGTAACATCTATCTCATATTTATCTGTTACCTCAACTTGTTTAACATCTTCATGATGCTCATTTCTTTCCTCATCCTGACTTTTGTTGATATCTGAAGCTGACTTTTCAGGTTCGTTTTCATTTTTACCATTAGAATCATCAAAAAGATTATCAGGCTGCTCTTTAACTATGTCTGAAGATTCCTCTCCAGATTTTGCTTCAGATTCGTCAACATTTGCCTTAGATTTAATTTCATCATCATTAACATCTTTATTAGATTCCCCAAGGCTCACTAAATTTGCACAGCTTGGTTCGGTAATGACAATACTTGGTATTCTGCCTCTCTGGTTACCGGATGGCTGAATGTCTTTGGGAAGTTCAATATCACTAAATGCCGGTTGGTCTCTAGGTGTGCTTAGATCAAAATCTATATCATCATGGTCGGCTGTTCCAGTGTCATCTAGATTGTCAAACTCTGTACTTAACTCTACTGTACCATCCATGCTGTACAGAAAATGAAATTGTTAACTTTAAGTCAACTTTTAAGTCACATATTCACACATATAATACTGACTGGGGACCAACAAAACCAGACAACCCAATCACAACTTTTCGGCCCTTTCTGTCATTCTCGGAATAAGGATCCCAAACACAATAGTATGAATACACAGAGTGGATACGGTATTTCTGTCTAACCTATGCGAAAAAAGTAAACATGTAAACAAATAGTAATTTAATGCTGGGAGTTGTTAAGTATGCCCACTCAATTTCAAATGTAAAGGTACATGACATTGTACCCCTGTCATTTTAAATTGGGGGATACATATCAAAATCTGGGGGTATACAGAAGATTAAACATGTTTTTGTTTGCAAGAACATTTGAGTCAACATGATATTAATGAAGAGTTGTTTCACTTAGTATTACTACCCACTAACACAGACACAAACTCCTTAAGGTAGCAATGAAACAGCCATTACAATCACTGATCTTTTGTTAAGTCCATGCGGTTATTATCAATAACCAAAATTTTGTGTATCCTAAATTATGTACATTTATTTCAAAAGGTCAATTGTTTATATTTTTATTTCATATAACATTTGTAAAGTTCACAATTGAAGTTAATTGTTCAAAAGTTTAAGTGACTAACTTTCTATTGATCATTTGTGAACTAAAAATACTTTTTGGCAGTTGTAAATATCTAAAACATTTTTTCTTAAGACAGTACATGACTGTGTCATCAAGACGTGGCTAAAATATTTACAAATCAGACTGAAATGACTTTTTGAAAGCAGACACGCAATTGAGACCGAGTTAAGGCTGCTCCTAACAATTGGTAGATGGCAACAACATTTAATTGATCTGCATGTTAGGCTATCCCAAACATTCTTTCTGACAATTTTACTTTGCGTGCATGTACCCCCTGCTTACAATTTTTATGCGTGCATATAGAATTTTGTGGGTGATTTACGCACTGTGTTGTGTGAATGGGCATGCTGGTTGTTGACAAGTAATCAAGTAAAAGTCCACCTAAAAAAGGTGAATTCATAGGTACAGAAGCAAACAGTTCATTATTTATATATTTATTATTATGGTTGTAGAAACTTAAAGTACAAAATGCCAATCTGTTGACACATTAGGTCAGATTTGTTTATTATTGTACATCAGTGGGCATATTTATTTCAAAAATGGTTGTCAGACATATTTTCAATTGAAATTATACAGAAATAGACTTTATCTTCATTTGGATCTGATTGGTCAAATATATTAATTCCTTTGACATTATCTAATATTCCACTCTCTGTTTCTATTTACATCTGGAACATTGTGGTAGAACTACTTTCAACCCATATCAACTCCAAAGTTATCATAGATAATAGCCCAGGAAGTTCCAATTGCCTGAAAACCATCAAACACTGACAGACCCTAAAAATGTCTGATTTGGTTTTTTTTCTTTGTTCAGTAATTGTCGATCATTCAGTCACTTTTTATCAACAAAAAAACTCATAGCACTCTTGACGTCCAATTAATGTTTTTGAAATAGATATTAATATATTGCTGTTTATATAAGTACTGTAGAGATAAATTTTATTACTTAATTATAGAAGAAATATGCATTTATTGCTCATTGAAGGGTGACTGATACTGGTCGGGGACCATGAAGCGGACACTTTTTGACCATTTTTTTAATACAGATTTCATAATTTCAAACCTAGAGACCTGAAAATTTGAGACAGTACAGCTAGGTTCTTCTCCAAACTAACAAGCTAGTTTGTTTATTTCTGATTATATTGACACTTATATCTGGGGCTCGTCAAGGAGGGTATCATAATTACCTAAATTATCTACACTACAGTACCATGTGTCCGGACAGATATGACATGGCGTGATTTAATACAGATAAAAGCTTGGGTGTTTCAATTTTTGATTTTTGACATGATATATTGTCCGGTCATGTGTTTTGACGCTCATCTATTTTGATGCCATTTTTGTTTTGACCTAACAATTGGTGAAAACAACCTCGTATGACGTCATAATTTGCTGACTGCACTGCAACGTATAACTAAAACATGTGGAAAGACAGAGACATTTCACTGAAAATACTTCACCTTTATTATATTTACTTCATTTTTTCATCTTTTTACTAATGCAAAATCAATCGATGCTTATGCAAGCCATAATTTTGCAAATACAGCCTTTGAAAAATCTTGACCTGCCCTTTTCTGTTCTATCCTCCATTTTAAAATGTCTTAATGAGTGTCATGTGACCAAAACTTTGCAGGTGTCCTTAATATTCACTGTAGCATAAGGTGTACAGCTTATATTGTTTGAAAACATTAATTGGTTTTTAATTGATACTGAGTAAAATTCATAATGGGTTAATTATTGTATATAAAGTTTATAAAAGAAAGAAAAAAAACATTTTTTAAATCAACATACACATATCTTTACAACATCTTTCATTTTAGATATATTTTTCAGCTCTGTTAAAGCCAAAAACAGATGCTATTCATCAAGATTATTGGTAAATACATTCCAGGTGCACCTATTAAGACCACTGCCAGGGTGTATGGCATTCCTAAATAATGGATAGTTTTATATGAAATAAAATATGATTTTAAGTTTGAACAATGTTGTTACATTACAGGTTTGCTCATTTAAAAACTTCTTATGCTGTACATATTGCATTACAGTGAAATATCCTTTAAAAATAACAACCCAATGAAAAGGCGTCATTTCATATGACTGTAAACAACAATCGATGCCTCCACGGTCTGTTTACTTAAGTACAAAACTTAAGTGATTTTGAACTTTTAACAAACATAAAAAAGGTTTGCAGTGATAAACAACATGTCATAGTAACTTTATATTGTCAGGGCCAAAAAACCCTTCTTTGTAGAGGCCGAATATAGGCTGCTTCCCCAACCAAAATAGCCTCTTTTTTCCCCACTTTGGTCCTTAAAATTCCCCAGTCTTTTGAAATTTCCCATAGAATTTTGGACAAAATTAAATGATGGTGTTGAATTACTGCCTTATTAGTATTTCCCAGTGCTTTTTGCTTTCCTATTTTGAATAACATGTTAAAATTTTGTGTTAAATTTGAGACCCCTTTTCCCAAAGTATGCAAAAATCATGCATATTTTCCCCAAGAAAAAGGCTGAGGCCCCTTCCCCAAAAATGGTGTTTTGGCCCTGATTGTATTTTATTTAATGATCAAGTTAAATATAAAAAATGCACTAGTTAAACAGCTTATGGGCGTCAAAACTAATGACACTTCTGCAAATTTATGATTATAGATGGTGTCAACATAATCACAAATAAGCATAAAGCGGACACGTTTTGAACAGTTGAACATACACAAAATTTTCTTAATTTACAAAATTTGAGAATGAATTTTAATAAGCTGAACTTGTAAAAATTATTGATTTAACAAATATACCTTTCCTATCATAAACAGATGAAGTAGCAATTTCAACTGTAATTCAAATGCTACCCTGAAGTATACTATAGACTGGACTCTTATAAACAATCAAATAGCTAAACAAAAAGCTTTCAATATTTAAACAAAATGAACCGGTGACCGATGTAAACAAAAATGGATAAGCTTGATTGTTTTTTTTCTACGTAACAAAAATGGATAAGCTTGATTGTTTTTTTTCTACGTATACGAGAATTATCTTCTTTGTTTCTAGTGAACATACTGTAAACTGAAATGACATATTTAAACGAACAGTATAAAATAAACTGCTTTTTCGCGGAGATGATACAACGCTTAGCATATTGTAACCAGGGATGTACTGTATATACTGTACAGTACTGTATACACGTTAGCCCAAATTATTATGACAATTACCAAACAGCCAAAGCAACGTCTTACTTACAGTACCAGTACAGTACTGTATACATATTTTTTTGCTTTAAAAAAATATGAAAGTTCAAACCGACATAGAATCTAGATGTTGACCCAGCAAAGGACACAATTCATTCTATCCCGAAACAACCAATTTTCAATCACAACCTAAATTCAAACACATTCTTAATTCTGTGGCGCTGATGTCATGTCTGACTAAAGTAAATAAAGTCACTTGTTGTATTAACTTAAACACTTGCAGGAATGCCATACTTGATTAATTGTCAGATGTTATCAGTAAAACAATAAGAAATTGTTTATTTTAAGTGAAACAATGTAAATTGCCCAACTTTAACTTTATCAAAATAGCCACTTGTTTAAAATAGTGGTAAAAATTGTTCCAATCAAGTTTATTTTTTTTATGAAGTATTGGCTACAGAGTTTTACCATTTACCTCAGCCTTTGGTGTATTTGAAACATTTATTTATATGATGTACCTCTAAATATTAATCAGACTTTACGTAGGGGTCCTTATTGATAAAATTTTAAATTGTAATAAAGTTTTTTTCAGGTGATGATTGTAAAATTAATCTTTGTAAGCGACACCATTTGGCAGATCTAGACAAGTTTCCATATTTGGTAATATTAAAAAGTGGGGAAGGTACAATGGCTGTAATAATTGGATGCATTTATCATTTTGCACACCAAATAGCGTACTGAGAAGTGACTGTGTGTGTGTATTTGCGTTTATTTATACTCGCCACCGGTTGCCCATATGGGCGAGTCTTCCAGAAGAGTATTAGTCATTTTATTGTTTGGAAGATAGTGCAATTATAGATACAGAAAGATGCCCCAATTCCAGAAGCTTCTCCTGGTTCTTTAGCGTGCCAAGTGTTTAAGCACCCATACACGGGACCTCGATTTAAAGTCTCATCCGAAAGACTGATTAGTAATTTTAGTTGGCCAGCCCGGGAATCGAACCCACAATGTCGAGATTACAAGTCTCGCGCTCTAACCGATTGAGCTATGCGGGCTGGCACATAGAAGTGACACCTTAAACTACCTTAAACTGCCCTTTTTATACACATTAACAGTAGTCATACTGTACATATGTTATAACATTTAGTGTAAGTTTTTTAAAATCCTGTAAAAACTGTTAAAAATCATTGAATAGACTGTTGTGAAATTTTCTACAATTTTTAGTAGCCCTGATTTATCTTGAACAAATTCTTTAGTGGTGATTACCCTGCTGTTTGAATTTAGGTTAAAATATCACTGGGAGTGACCTGAGTGGGTCATATCGTTTTTATTGTTTTTCTAAGAAAGATTAAGACATATTGAAAATGTACCAACCATAAAATGAATAAATGTTGATAGATGCATTAATATCTAATATGAATTTAAGGCATAATTTCACCTTCCATTTATTATTGGCTAAAAACAACTTAACTGATTGAATATTGGTTGTTCCGGGATATGTATTTTAAGGAATGTAACCCATTCGCGTTCAACAAGATTTGAATTAGAAGATAACGACGTTAATTATCGTATGTCCCAGGATAGACTTGAGAGATATATTTCTTGCGAAATTTGGTCGATATACTTATTAGTCCATATTGTATAATATAACATACAGACATGTGTCGTGTGACATTTTTTGATGTCATATTACAATACATTACAGACTCTTTATCATATATATATGGGAAAATTATAATTAAACATTCATATTCAATCAAAAATTTACAATACAAAAATGTAAGTGACGGTGACTATTCATCATTCGGTTGCATAAGTTTAACGGTAAATTATAGAACTTTATGCAAAAGTTCATAGATTAATTTACAGGTTTTTATAAATGTGCAGTATAGATTTTGTATTTTCTGATTGAGGATTAGGAAATACAAAGCTAACATTCAATCTCTGACACAGCGGTTTCACGACAAACCTAACAACAAGTAGTTCTTAAAACAGCTTAAAACTAGCGATTTAAAAGAAAGAAATATTTTTAATTTTGTTAAAAGTATCCAACAAATTACAACGCATTCAAGGTTTAAAAGTAGCTTTGGGTTATATAATTGTCAATAAATGCACACTCACAAATTACGCGGATGAATATGATTTTAATCAATGAAAATGCTATTTTTAGCGATGTCGATCAGAGCGTATTTCACAAATAAATCTGACTGTCGAGTAGTGGAATATATACATGTCGGACTGTCTTGGCGAGAAGACTTTTGCTAAATTATTTACATCAATGTTAAACAACAGGTTAATCGTGAACAAAATACCTCGAAATTAACACAGGTGACAGTATCAGTGTTTGGACACTAACCCCACCCTGCCTCTAGACCCCTGCTACAACCCTGAACAAGAGCCATGTCAACATGGACATCCCCCGCCGAATGGGTTTGCTCATTGGAAGAATGTATATGTAGTAGAGCAGATAAATCAATTTTAAGAGGCCTTTTGAAAACTGATGGCTGAAGTGATTACAGATTTGAAACCTATATGAATACTGATGGCTGAAAATAACAAAGGGCAATAACTGAAAAACAATGCAGGGAAGGTTATCATTCTTGTGTGCTGCACCTCTCCTCAGTAAAATCTATCAACCTATGAAGTTTCAAGTTGATACCTCAAATACTTTTTGAGATAAGCTCTGGACAAAATAGTATGAAAAAGAAAAAAAGGGCAATAACTCAAATATTTTACAGGAAAGAGTTATTATTCTTGTGCACAGCATTCCTCCTTAATAAGATCTATGACATTTAATGTTGACATCTCAAAACACTTTTGAGTTATGCTCCACTCAGGTGAAAAATTAAGTATGAAAATTAACAAAGGACAATAACTCAAAAATTATGCAGGGTAGAGTTATCATTCTTGTGCACTGCACTCCTCCTCAATGAGATCCATCCACCCATGAAGTTTCAAGTTGATACCTCAAATACTTTTTGAGATAAGCTCCGGACAAAATAGTATGAAAAAGAACAAAGGACAATAACTCAAAACTTATATTGCGAAGAGTTACCATTCTTGCCCAAAGCATTCCTCTTCAATAAGATCTTTCCACCTATGACATTTCATGCTGACATCTCAAACACTTTTTGAGTTATGCTCCACTTAGGTGAAAAATTAAGTATGAAAAATAACAAAGGGCAATAACTCAAAAATTATGAAAGGTAGAGTTATCATTATTGTGCACTGCACACCTCCTGAGTGAGATCTATGCACCTATGAAGTTTCATGTTGATATCTCAAAGGCTTTTTGAGTTATGCTCTGGACAAAAATTAATTTTGAAAAATAACAAAGGGCAATAACTAAAAAATTATGCAGGGTAGAGTTATCATTCTTGTGCATTGCACCCCTCCTCAATGAGGTTTATCCACGTATGAAGTTTCAAGTTAATCCCTCAAATACTTTTTGAGATATGCTCTGCTGCCCTGCAAGAAGAATTATAGTACATAAATAAACTTATACAAGAAATAATACAGCAGATATAGAGTGCAGATCAGAAAATACCACAGAGCTTGCAGCCCTTTGATTTAATCCTAAAGTCATGCTTCACTTGGATTTGTGAGTTCCCTAACTGTTTATGCTGTTAACGAAAAAGCCTTCATTGTTTTTATGCTTTAATAGCTTGAGGAGATTTTACGTGAAATACATGTTTTTTAGCGCATCTAAACCATCTATTGGATGAAAAAGTTTCGGCAAAATCTAAATACTGTGTGTAAATTATTGTATAAATTTACACGTTTCCCATTATTAAGTACATTTTAGTTTCGCGGGTGTGTAATTCATCTAGATATATTTTTCATCCGCATTCAAACACAGTTTGGCTGCCATAAAATGATATTTTATTTCTCATTGAAATTATAAGAATATATGCTTTTTATTATCAAGTGATTATAAACCGTCATAATTACAGATTATCAAAGTCAGAATATACCAGCAGTACGCGCTCGTGAAAAAAAAATCATAAATTAATTAATAATCAAGTATATTAGTAGTATATTCACTCAAAACAAGCACTTATCGTCACTATATAGTGCAAAAATTGGTTAACTCCTATTGTTACTGCTCTCAAGTGACGATATCCGCTATCTATTACTTGCTTTTCAATAGACAGTGAAATTGTATCGTGATAATTTAACTGTTACAGATAAATCATCAAAATATAATTTCCAGTGTAGCCGTCCTATATTTGGACGAGAATGAAAAGAATTTCTATCCAAATAAGTGGAAATATTGTTAGAAATGCATGCAGTAGTAAGTAAAATATGCTTGTTTCTATATATGCACATACTATGTGCTCAACATTACCCGAGTTACTTTTCAACAACTTTTGTATATAAGATCAAACTTATAGCACTCTTGGACACCAACTCTTATTGTTATACTCGTGGCCACGCCTAAGCTAGGTGTTTACCCTGTGTCATATATACATGCACTTACAAAACCAAAATCTCTCTGTTTATATCCCAGTTAATGTTTGAAACGAAAATATCACACTAAGACAGCAATCGTGTTACCTCGGTCTTTAACTTCGAATAAGGACCTCGAACACAACATATGTAGAATGAAAAACCAGATTGGATCTAACCTTCGCTTAAAAAGTTAAACATGTAGTTAAATAAAAAGTGAATACAGGGAGTTGTTTAATGACTAGTCAAGTCTATTTCATTATATAGTGTAAAATTCCACCTAAATTATATAAATCTTATTAAAAGCATACAGTGTGAGTAAC